AAAGAGGATCTGCCACTGCCAAGCCCACCTTTAAGGCAGTTGGTCTTCTGGTTCTTAAATTGAGAGGCAGCTACAGCACATTTATTGCTGCTCTGAATGGTCACACTTGTTCCCCCATTGGATGCGATTGCCTGAGTGTTCTGAATGTGTGCCCCACCCCCCAAGTCCTTTAGTTTAAAGCCCTCTGTACCAAGTTGGCCAGCCTACTGCCTAGGGATTCCCTTGCCTCGTCTAGAGAGGTCATCCCCGCTCTCAAGAGCTGCTGGCTCCTGACAGGTCCCTCTGCTCACCCTCAGGCCTCTCAGGCTTGAGGAACCGTCTTGCCGATTGCCTGAGTGTTCTGAATGTGTGCCCCACCCCCCAAGTCCTTTAGTTTAAAGCCCTCTGTACCAAGTTGGCCAGCCTACTGCCTAGGGATTCCCTTGCCTCGTCTAGAGAGGTCATCCCCGCTCTCAAGAGCTGCTGGCTCCTGACAGGTCCCTCTGCTCACCCTCAGGCCTCTCAGGCTTGAGGAACCGTCTTGCCTGCCCCAAACCAGCGCAGAGCCACAGGACTTGCCTTGCCGCCACTGTGCTCCTTGCTGACTGAGGGCTGTTGGTGGTTAAACCATGTTTAAATCTCCCAACGTTGCTTCTGGCAACACCCACGCCGCATCAATCCACCTTGTTGGAGAATCAGTGCTGCAGAGTATGGAAAATAAGCATACCTTTTTAAATCATTCATGATTGTAAGAATCTAGTGAGTAGGCTGTAACTAGAAGCTACAGCTGAGCCATAGTTTAATTGCTGAGTTTAATTGCTGATACTGCAGCATTATAAAGATGGAAAAACTTACTTTGATGTGACCTATGCACTGAAGGTAGATAGTTGGGCTTTATTTAAAGGGCTTCTTGCCTTGATTACAAGGATCAGACTAAAAGGCTGATGTTTCTGTTAAGTCGAATAGTGCTCTGCTGCAATTTTACTACTACTTCTATAATTTTCTATGTATAGCCACTGTTGGGAGAGAGCATTATACCATTTCACTGTTTTTCATTCTGTCTTGACCAGCATTTGTGTTCAGTTTGGACAGTACTTCATCTCATCTGAACTTGAAAGTTGAAGATACCTATGTTGAATGGGATCCTACTGGAGGCAAAGGCCAAGAAAAAATAAAAGGGAAGGAAAATAAAAGGTAAGACTCTGTTTTGTAAATATTTATTTTGTCTGTGGTGTGTCATCTGGCAGTTAAGGCAAGAGGGCAGGGGGGAATTAAAGTGCTTGAGGACAGTGGGACACCAAAGGAATTTTCATTCAGAAATCTTTCTCTGGAAGAAATCTTAATTTATCTCCCTTCTCCTGTCACACAGATGCAGAGGCTATTTGTGGAAACTATTAGAAATGTGTCTTAATCATTAAATAGGATTTAGTTACTTTTAAAATACATTTGTTAGGGTGTCATTCAAGGTGACTGATATGTCGATATGGCACTAGGTGCCTACCAAGCTGCTCCATCACTTCCCCTCCTCAGCTGGACAGTGGGAGAGGAAATAGGACAAAAGATTCATGGGTTGGGATAAGGACAGGGAGATCACTCTGCAATTACTGTCACAGGCAAAACAGACCTGAGCTGGGGAAATTTAAATTGATTTATTGCCAATCAAAAGTCAGAGTAGGATAATGAGAAATAAGAAGAAATCTTAAAATACCCCCCACCCCTCCCTTCTTCCCAGACTCCACTCCTGACTTCTCTACCTCCTCCTGCCGAGCGGCGCAGGGGGACAGGGAATGGGAGTTGCAGTCAGTTCATCACGTGCTGTCTCTGCTGCTCCTTCCTCCTCATGTTCTTCTCCTGCTCCAGCGTGGGGTCCCACCCACGGGAGACAGTCTTTCACAAGCTGCTGCAACATGGGCCCTTCCCACGGGCTGCAGTTCTTCACAAACTGCTCCTGTATGGGTCCTTTCCACAGGGTGCAGTCCTTCATGAACAGACTGCTCCATGTGGGTTCCCCATGGGGCCACAGGTCCTGCCAGCAAACCTGCTCCATCATGGGCTCTCATGGGCTGCAGCTTTTTTCAGGACACATCCACCTGCTCCAGTGTGTGGTCTTCCATGGGCTGCAGAGTGGCTGTATTCTCACTCCTCTCCCCTAGCTGCTCTAGTGCAGCAGTTTTTACACTTAAATATGTTATCACAGAGGCACCACCACTGTCACTGACTGGTTCAGTGTTGGCCAGTGTTGGGTCTGTCTTGGAGCCAGGTGGCACTGACTCTGTCTGACATGGGGGCAGTTTCTGGCATCTTCTCACAGAAGCCACCTCTACAGCCCCCCCCCGCTACCAAAACCTTGGCACATAAACCCAATACAGTAGATAAGGTAAATGTCAGCAAGCAACTGATGTCATGCTGTAGTGTTGCAGGTCAATACTGGTGAATAGACAGCTTTTCTACTATTAAAAATAAGGATAGAGCTGGCTGCTTTGTCGTTCTGAAAAAGCTACAGTTAAATAAAATTGGTACTATAGATAGTGTTCGAATTTATTGTCTCATAACCCTCACTGGTGAGGAAGAGGTACCAATAAAACAAACCAGATAGCAAACTCTTGTAAAAGTGAAACCAGTGCTAAACATATTTACCAACTATTTTCATCTAGGAAAAGTACTTAAGCAACTTCAGCAGAATTCTTGGTAGATTGTTGAGTGTTAAAGCACTTAGATGTGTGTTATTCAGAATCACTGAATAAATACAGTTGGAAGAACATCACTAGATCAGTCTACTCTGGCTGAGCCTTGAATATATCCAGGGATGAAGAATGCATTAACTCGTTGGGCCTCTGTTCCAGGCCACCTTCCTGGGAGGGGAGGAATAGCCTGGTATCTGACTGGAATTTCCTGTGGTGCAATGAGTACCAGGTGCTTCTTCACTATCAGTGTGCACCCCTCTGAGAAAAGCCTGTCTCAATCTTCTCTGTATCTTCCTGTTACAACATTAAATACAGCAATTAGCTCTTGTCTTCCTGAGGCTGTCTTGTCTTCCAGTGCTCTGGTCCCTTAGTTGTGTTGTTGGCCCTCCACTGGACTTGCTCGAGGAGCCCAGATCTGGACACAGGACTTCAGGCTCAGTCTGACAAGTAGCAAATCAAGAGGAACAGTTGATTGCCTTGACCTCCTGGTTGCTGTCTTGCTGCTACAGCCCAGGATGTGGTTGGCTACCTCTGCCACAAGGTGTTGTCCACTGTTGTTGTCCACTTGTTATCAGTTCCTGTTGTCCACCAAAACTCCCAGCCGCTTTTCTGCAGAAGTGCTCTTCCCTTGGTTGTCCCCCAGCCTGTCCTGTTGTGTAGGGTTCTCTCATCTGGAGAACACTATCCATAGCTGTGGGCCTGGTGTTCAGCTGATTCTGTACACAGTTTATGGCCCACTACCCAGTCTCTTTTTTACCTCTTGAGGTTCGGGGACACTGTGGGAATGGATCAAAAGCCTTATTAAAGTCAAGGTGCAGTGTCCACTGCTCTTGCCTTGTCCACAGAGCTGGCTACTTCTTCCTCAAGGACTTTCAGCCTGCACTTTTTGGTATAAAGAGCTCTGCTTGACATAATTTATGAACAAATACCTTCCCTGTACCTTCCCTATAGACATATACTGCCAGAAGTATGGTAGAATAAGTTCTAGTGGCATCTTAAAAATGGGGATAACTTGCTGCAGTAACAGAACAGTTGTTTAATGACTACTTATTTCTGTCGACAGTGGCCAGAATCCTCTGCTGAAGAGCAATAGAAGGTGATAATATACCTTTTAATCCTAGGTCTAGAACCTAGTTTTGTTGGGATTCTATGCTGCTTTCCTTTGCTTGATGTAATGAGAAATAAATCTAATAGCCTTTATCAGTAACAGTACATATGCTTTTAGAAGTGATTTTGAAATTTATTTTGGATTCATAGAGATATGTAGGTATTTTCCAGTGCCTGGAAAACTGTCTTACTGGAAGGATGCATCCTAGTGTGTGGGAGACCTGATTTGCAATGGTTGGAAGAGCATTCTGTATTCTAGTGTTGATACAAAGATCACTGTTATTTATTGATGCTTACTTAACCTTCTGGCACATGATGGCATGCTAAATTTTTTACAAATTCAGTAAAGAGTTCCTTTCCAAGAAGCTTAAAATATTTTAGTTCTTATTTTTGAATCTGAAAACTTTTTTGCCTCTGAACTTGTGCTATAGCTGTTGCTAGACATCAGAGGAAAAGAAATACGTGTTTTTACACTTTCAGAGGAGATGAAGTTTAACCTGATGGCATGTGTAAAAAGCTTCATGGCAATTCTACTAGGGGAAACAATTGTTCAAATGAGAGCACCTCTTTTTTGATGTGTAAAGGAAGCTAAAATATTCTCCCGTTCCTTGTGCAGCTGTATTTTTTAGTGTAAATTTTTTTTCACAATTTTTCTAATAAAACTCCTGGTTGAGAAATTACTACCCTGTTTTTGCTCTCTTGCTCTTTTTCACTGGTTTAGAAGCTGTGGGACCAAAACAAATGCCCAAGTTCCTAATTCCTTGCAGATTTTACTCCTCTATATTCATCAGAGTTTGTGTAGGTGAAACAAGCTCTTGAAGCTGTGCAGCATTGATAGTTTTACACAGTGTATCAATTTCTCCTAAACTAAGTTTTAAAACTGTCTTGGAGAATTTCTAATTGCTCAACAAACTCTGGGAGTCTTACACCTTGGTCTCTCTTTGTCAGTAAAGAACTTCCCTAGTTACAGCCTTGGCTTTGGTAGGCGGACATGGTCACATCTTCGGCTTTGCATCTCAGGTTGACCTTTTCTAGCAGGAGACTTAGATGACCTTCGATTCTTGCAGGAGGCTTTTGTTCCCTGTTAAGGGTATTTGTGTGATGTTGTCTTCACTAGAGGGAAAATTTGAAGCTAGCTCCATAGCTGGTGGAAAAAGCTGCAATATGATTTTTTTTTAAACGTCAAACGTGCAGCTTTCAAGGGTTGGAAAGACACGATGGCAATGACATTCTTAATGATCTGTAACATATTTATTCAACTAGAAAACAGCCTCTGAATAACTTCTGATATCCCTCTATGGTTAACCTCTGATATACCTCCTTGACCTTTCTTCTCCAAAAGAGAATACATAATCACTTGAAATATGTTTTATTTGCTGAAATGGATAGAAAAACTGAGACTAATCGCAGGCTGTAGGCAACAATCCTAATCATAAAATGAGAATATCTGGTCACTGAATAGTCCAAGCAACACATTGGTTACTATACTAACTAATGAAAACTGTGCTGTATTGGAAAATGGGCACCAAACAGACTTTCTGCTAGACAATTTCCTGCCTTTCCCCATTGGAACAGAGACTTAAGCACTGGGGTAAAAAAACTCCCAGGCCTGTTTTTTTCAAGCTTTTATGCCAAATATTTAATGTCACTGTCTGAACTGTTAAAGGCTGTTAGATTTTTCATGGACAAAGCACACGCAGTGGCCATTTACAGAAGACTTGAACAAAATAAATGATATTGAGGACCTTTTAATGTCTTCCTAACTTCTGAGAAAATACTAGCAAAGCACCTGCATTTTTCTTACGGTGATTCTCTAAATGGCCACATTGCTTTCTGCATAACTTATTTATACTGAATCTAATAGAAAAATTGCAGCAGCTTTTGTTGGAAGTGTGAGTGAATGATCTCTGATGCACTTGAAGCAGGATGCAATCTGCGAAGAGTGGTGGTTCCCCCTGAAATTATGCTTTAATTCTTGGCTTTGCTTTTTTTTTTTTCATGCTATCACTTGTTAACTTTTTCTTTGGTAAGTAAACTACAGCTTCCTGCATGTTAACAAAATTCAAAAGCATTTGATGTCGTGCACTTGCAGTGTATGCACTTGCCCCCTTCATGTAACTCTTGCAAACAGTTCAGAAGCTTAGCTGTCAGTACTGGCAAATTTATATGCTAAATGGTGATGCTAAAGTAGACAACCTTTTCATCAGTGACTTCTTGTAGACTTCTGTAACTGGAATAAAACAGCCATGAAGATGAACCAGATACTCTAGCATACTTATGTATGACAGCTTAATACCACTCAGCTTTTGATTCCCATGTGACTATTTTAATGAAACTATTAGGCAAAAGGGACACTTTCTAACCCTTTATGAAGTGATATTTAAGAACAGTTCCAGAAAACTTGACATCAGTGTTGAATGTATTAGAAAGGAAACAAGCTAAACTTCACCATGTTAGTGGACACTTAAGTAGCAATTTGCTTTACCAAATTGTAGCTGAAGGAAAAGTTGGAGAGAAAACTTTTTTGTTTGTGGTAACTCTTCTAAGGCAAAGCTGTCACAGACTACATTTTGATGTAGTCTTGGATTTGAAGATTACTTCATGTGTACTTCAGAGACTTATTTTATGAAATTTAACTGCAGAGTGCATAGCTATTTCTGAGGAGTTAAAATTCTTTGCTACTGATTGCCTTTAAAATAATAACAAGACATGATTTCCTGGCTACTGAGGTTTCATATCCCCTGTAATTTGCAAATAGCCTTCATTTTATTTAATGTTTAAATTGCTAGCAATTATTTTTGAGGACATATAAAACAAAACATCTGAAAACCTCATTGGGTTAAAATTACTCTTTTATGCAACTGATTGCTCATTAGAATATTCTCCAGAGTAAAGTTTGTCTTCATTTATTTTGCTGTTGCTTCCTGAGAATGCTTTTGAGAAGTATGATTAGAAAATCTAAGCCTTTCTTGATTGGGATTAGGATCTTCAATTTTATAGTAACTCTTGAGGAGTCGCTGTGTGCTTCTCAGGACAACGTGTTGTGACACAATTTTCTGTAGTCTTTCACAGAGTTAATAGAATAAAATAAAAGCCCCGCCCTTCAATATACTTTTGGTGTTTGATTTTTTTTTTTTTGAGGAGAGTTGTGATGCGTTGAACTGTGGAAGTCTCACCATCTTTTTTAATATAAATTGTGTTTATATTTGACATTCTTGGTTTTGTGTCACCTCCAGCGTGTGTATTGTGAAATAAACTTATCACAGTTTTATTCCTTTCATTCTTCTTTGGGATACGCTTTCTCATGGGATTTCAGTCATTGCTTAATGCAAGCTGTACACATGCTGAAAAACCTACCTTTAACACAACTGATGCTATTTTCCCATTTGCTGGTATTAAAATCCAGTGAAAACTAGGCGTTTTGGCATTGAATATCAGCAATGTATTCTACTTACTTGATTGTTGTAGCTGATCTACAAAGACTTATTAGAAATCTTATGTGGAAAACCAGAAACATGTATTCTCTAAGATTCTGCATAGTACAGTCAAAACACTATTTTATACAGGCATTCATTCAAACCATGTGCCACACACATCTGCTTTTTGTTCCCTCCTGTTTCCTTTCTCAGCTGCCTCTGAACCTGTTTGTTACAATGTCTTGTATTTTTTCTGGCTGTCATCTCTTCTCTCTCAGTTCTTGTGCATGCATACTCTTAGAGGTGCTCAGCAGCTAAACTAATGAGTCATTTCAATAGCTTGTGTATGTTTATTGCACCCTAATTGACTTGGGAAAACTTGTTTGAGTGTGCGTTTCTGTAATTGCTTCCAAATCTTGAACGGTTCATTTCTTCTTAGAAGTGGTGCACCGTCTCCAAAGAGGACATCTATTAGCACGAGATCCTCATCAAGGGGCAGCAGAGATCATTTTACTGGTGAATCATACACAGTGTTGGGTAAGGTGAACTTTCTACTTCTTTAGGTTAGACTAGGTAAGAATTTGAGGGAAAACCTGATGCTGTCCTGCACAGAGGTAGTTTTTGCCTATACAACACCAGAACTTCATGCTACCAGAAAGTGTCTTCAAGTCTGTTGAAGCTCTTTATTATAGAGCTCTTAGTGACTGATATTCACTGCTATTAAATGTGATGTTAAATGTATCTTGTCTCAAATAGCGTAAGTAAAAACTGTCTCATTATTCTATGTTTATATTCTATTTTCTTGTACATTAATTTTTTTGTTTCTTATAGTTCAGATTTTTGTATTTCTAAGCCTTCACCTTAAAATAAAACAGAGAAGACATCACTAGTGCCTATAAGGAAGGAAGCATTGTAAGGTACACTTGACTATAGCAACCAAATATGTCTTTTTTGATAGGAGACACTGCTGTTGAAAGTGGACAGCATTACTGGGAGGTGAGAGCCCAGAAGGACTGCAAATCCTACAGTGTGGGAGTAACATACAGAAACCTGGGGAAATTTGACCAGCTGGGAAAGACTAATTCAAGCTGGTGCATCCATATCAACAACTGGCTGCAAACCACATTTTCAGCAAAACATAATAATAAAACCAAGACTCTAGATGTACCTGTTCCAGACAGAATAGGAGTATACTGCGACTTTGATGGAGGTAAATTACAATCTTATGGGATTTAGCCAAAAACTTTGCTATCCATGTCAAGTTGAAGCAGTACAAAGCTAAAGTAGTACATTACTTCCAGACTGATATAGGGTCTTGTATGAAAATAAGGCCCAGAGCTGTTTGTGTAACAGTGTTTGCAATGTCAAATGACCTGGGTTCATCTATGTGACAGAGGTACTACCAGAATTTTTCAGTTGTGTGGACTGTATTTAGTGTGCTTTAGAAACCTTGCCCAGGGAAAGAATCAATTCTACAAAAAATTACACAGCAATAGCATTTAAATGTGCATTTCAACTTGTTTTCTGCCTCTTTTAGGTCAGCTCGCATTTTATAATGCAAACTCAAAGGAGCTGTTACACACCTTCAGAACAAAGTTTACCCAACCGTTATTACCAGGCTTCATGGTCAGTATCTATAAAATTTTGTTTGGTTTCTGGCACTGAAGTCAGTTTACTGAAGACTTAGTTGTTTTTTAAAGGAGGAAACTGGGAGCAGTTTTTGGCTGACTAATAATTTTAAAAAATGTTTAACTGTTTTAATTTTGATTTCACATGGTGCTTACAATAGCACTTCAGTAGGAGAACGCTGCACCTGGACGTCTCAGCTATGTAAATAAAAGTCATTAAATTTTTGTAGAGTAAATTAATAGCTCATTCTGGTAGCTGATGAGCCTGCTACAATAATTGACCTGAACTGATACAGATAGGAGCGTAAGATGCTGCAAGGTGTCAGAGCAGTTGTCATGAGACCAAACAAAACCAGATGATTCCCTCTGAGATACAGGGCTCTAGCTTTCAAAACATTAAAAGCTCAGCGGGATTTTCTTGCCAGTCATTTCACTGGTCTGCATAACTTTTTTGTGGCTCTAAGCTAGTCAGCGAAAACTTGCTTCAATTCTAAAAACATTGCAAAAAATGCACAGGAAAAGGATTAGTTGCTGCTTATTGGTTTTCCTTTAATGATTTAAGTAATCTGTTTAAGTAACTGAATTTGGAGGCCTCAGCTGCATTATAAGGTACCATCAAGTGCATCATACTTTGGGAGCAGGGTACAGATCTGGGACAACGTGGGAATCTGGAGGAGGCTGGCATGCTAGTTCATACTAACAACTCAGCTGCCTAGGCACTGATCTCTAGCCTCCTGTAATCCATAGAAAACACAGCATGGTAACTCTAAAGTGTCATTAGGCCAATTAATAAAGTTACTCTTCTTTTGGGTATGGAGGAGGAATGGAGAACTAGTAACTTGCCCAGACAGCCTTACATCTAGCATTTCCGAACACCTGATCTTTCACTGTGTCAGGCAGAATTTCTTTCACAATTTATACTGTTGGTTTAGATGTACTGACTATAGGAGTCTAGATTTTTATTAGCTCTTCACTTGGAAGCGACTAAGCAGGTTGTCTTACCAATCCTTTTCGACACATGGGGAACAGAATAGCTTCAGAACTGTTGGGATACATGTGTTATTCATCCCTCTAGCATTGGAACAGGCTGCCTAGAGAGGTGGTGGAGTCCCCACCCCTGGAGGCGTTCAAGAAACATGTAGACGTGGCACTTCGGGACATGGTTTAGTAGGCATGGTGGCGTTAGGTTGATGGTTGGACTAGATGACCTTGGAGGTCTTTTCCAGCCTTAATGATTCTATGATTGCTAAGGTTGGCTAATTAAGTCAGTTCTTAAGGCATCCAAGGAACATTTGCTTACCACACTTCAGCCTATGAGTCTGCATCTTGTACAGCCCCTAGTACTTAGTGATAGCAGTCTTACAGACACTACTTGGGTTAGCCTGAACAGCTAAAATAAAAATGACAAGCTACTTAATTACAGCTCTCAAATATACTCATAAACATGGAGATACATTCTTTCATGTAACTCAGTTGTAGAATAGAAGTCACTGGCACCTGTGCCCCTGAAGCTCCTCAAAACTTTATTTTTTTGTACTGTGTTTACATTGCCGTAATTCTGCCATGTCAAACTAAAACTAAGCACTGCTTTCAGACACTGGAGCACAGTGAGAGTATTGCTTAAGCTTCATTGTCATTCTAAGTACTTGCTGCTAGCACATCGGTCTTCAAAGAAGTTTCTGTATTAGAAGCAAGTCTCTTAGTATTAGATCTTAGACTTGGTTATAAACTTAGTCATAAAGTATAGTATGTGAAGCATCTTTATGGTCTTAAAAATGACCTTCTGTGTGATTAGAATGTTCTACAGAGTGCTGTGACTAGAAAGGAAGAGAGAAGACAAATGCAGCTGCAGGATTAAGTTTTGTGTTAGCTCCACTGTGGGACAGAAGCAGAGAGATGTAGATGCTTCATACTGTTCAGAATATTTTTTTTTTTCTTCCCTTAGATCTGGTGTGGTGGGCTTACAGTGAGTACTGGATTGCAAGTGCCAAGTGCTGTGAAAACGCTCCAGAAAAGTGAAAATGGATTGAGTGGTTCAACAAACAGCCTGAACAATATTGCCTAGTAATGTGTATTAAACACTTCTGTTGCTGAATGGTTTTTTTTTCTCTGTAGCTGCTACTCACAGAAGCTTGTGAGCCTTGGATTAAACTGGGTTTGCTACCTACTGCTGTTTAAGGCCTGGGTACTGACAGTGCAAATGTTTGGGGCTAAAGTGTTAGGAACCTGCTGTGAATCCAGACAGAAATGTCAGAAAACTGAACTGCTGCTTATTTGAAAAATAAGTGGAGAAATCAAGAACTGTAACTATGTACTTTTCTAATACTGTATTTAAGCATTTTGTTATGGGCTTGAATATTATTATATTATTTTTCTATGAAGAATATAACAAATGCCATTTTCTTAGCTCTCCTAACATGAATTACTTGACTATATATTTTATTCTTACCGGGCTTCCCATTAGAATTTTTTATATCAAACGTGCATTTCAAAAGAATATTGATTTACTGGCCTAGACTGGAAATGTATCACAAGAGTATGATTTCAAAAGAACTTTATAAGAAGTTGTAGTCCTGATATGAAGAAACAGTAAGAACAGTCTGTGATGGTTTTTTTTTTCCTGATACAAAATCCCCCTATTTCGCATGAGTAACTCATTTAAATATCATATATTTAGACTTCTGCTCCTGTTTATCACAACTTACAGAAAATATAAAAATCTAAAGATATTTTAAAACATTCTTATGGTCCTTAGTGAAGACCCATTACGATAGCCAGCCATTGAGCTAGGAAGTATTTCAGGTAGGATGTTCAGAACCAAAAATCCAGAGCTTTTTTTAAACCTATGGTATGGTACTGCTCTCTCAGAAGCTCCTAACTTTCGGTCATCTCTTGGCTTTCCAGTTTTGTGGCATTATTCTAATTGGATTGTGATAATCAGCAATTCACATTGTTCATTAGCTGTGAATGACAAATTGAATCTTTGTCTGCCGATAGCAATGCCGCAATGCAGCCGAGGCTGGGAACAAGGGTGTGAAAGCTTCAGTTTAGATGCATCTTCCCAGAGGAGATGGGGGGGACAAGACACCACTATTGCTAAAACATCTCTCAGCTTTTTCTCAAGCCAGCTTCAAGGCTGGCTAAGACTTCGCAAACACCTATGTCAGTACCAAAGCTGGCTTTGAGCAGAAGTGGCAGTAAATTCCTCGTGATAGGCCAGTAGCCCCAGAGCCCAGGCATGCATTTTTGCTACCTGTTTTCACTAGCCTAGTGAGGATTCCTGGAACTCTCTGGATAACTAGAGCTAAAGTCCAAAAATTGCATGATTTCTTTATCCAGCAGAAATGTAGCTTATATATATAGCATCCCACTCTTAACTTGCTAGCTTGTACCATATGCCATATATATGTGGCTATGAGGCTGGCTTTCAGGGGATCATATTCTACAGGATCTCTTTATAGCCTCCAACTTAATACCTTCCCCTTTTTTTAAGGGCAAGAAAAACATGGAGAGTGAGCAAATGCATTGCCAGCTAACATATCATCTGCTGCTGGATCTGTGGTTACACATATTTGCTCACAAATAAAGTGAAATGTTGAGCCTGGGTGTTCCATCATCTCAGCTCCTAGTTGGAAGCTTAATAAAAGTAGTCAAATGATTCATAACAGTGGGAGAGCTAAAAAAAAACTCCAAACGTTATATTCTTCGTGGAAAATCTCACTTTTCAATGAGAGTTATTTGTGTATTACAGAATGTCTAAATCTGCTTTCTTCCTTCTAATCGAGTCCACGAGCCTAGAAATAATTTTCAGATACACACTTCAATCAACTCTTACCTAACTGGAGATTTTTTCCTAGTATCACCTGTAAACTGTTTCAGATTCATGCTGCTAGGGTCCATAATGAATTGGCTCCTTTCCTACAGGGCCAAAGTACTTTTTCTTCTACATATCTTTTAGTCTGTAAAAACATGACCTCCTAATCATGTTCAGTCTCGTTAGTATCAATGGGTCCTTTGTGTTCAAGATTTCTCAAGAGGAGGAGAAATTCCTTGAAACAACTCATAATAAGCTGGTTATGCTGTTCAGTGAAAACCTTAAATGTTCTTAATTTTAATAGGAGCTCTAGAAAGTTTTGTTTCTTTTGAGAAATCATGAAGTTGACTGGATGGTTGAGCCCTTAATGTTCATTTCATATCTGGAACTTGAGCATATCTAAATATTTGCATTGTGAACAAAGCTAGCTGTAATCTCTCTTGCAGGGGAAAGTGCTAAACAATTCCCAGTTTAACTACACCTTCCTCTGCCAGTTTCGTGTTTTGGGTCTTGAAACAAAAATACTGGAAGGTGACATGGCTCTTAAATGAATGGTGTCTGAATCTGTTTCACATGTTACCTACAGATGTCGTTATCCAAATAGTCTGTGTAGTAATCTTAACTATTTCTTCCTCATTTCTGTCCTTTCTACTGCAATGAACACCTGACTGGGAGTTCTAGGGGCTCAGCTGCTATGAATTCAGCATATGTGAGGGAGTGAGACTGGTATTGCTTTGGGCCCTAGTAGTGTTTAGAGAGAGGAGGGTTAAGACAGCTGCTTCTTGTTTTGAGACTTGTTTTATTGAATGACTGTGGTAAACAGACATTGGAATAGGCTAGTACGTGTTCACACTGCCCAGTCATCAGCTTGATCTTGGGTGTTGAGGTACAGTTCTAATTTAAATTTACCTTTTTGGAAAGCAAGGAAGTGTTTATGATAAGTTAATGTGTGGTGGGAAATAAACATGAGTAATCTCCAATCCTACAAAAGAGCATTTAAATTATGAAGGGTTTTTAGCAAGATGTAGTGCAACCTGCAAGGTAAATTTGATATGCACAATGTAAAAATGTAGTTTTTCTTTAACACTTAGTTAGAAGAAAGCTTGAAGTATTTCATACTGTGACTTGTGACTTGCAAGTTCTAGTTTAACTGATGTCCTAGATAAACTTAACATGTGACTTTTTACCCTTTAAGGATGAATTTGTTATATAATAGTTTGCACAGATGTCAAACTTTTGCTGCTAACAGCTAGTCCAATTGTGTTTTTTTTAGTAAATGGGGATATGAAGAACTGCCTTAAGCACTTTAGATTTCTTTTTAGACTCTTCTTTTTTTCTGAGCCTAGTGTCTGTCCAGTACCAGTATACCGGTGGTATTTTGTTGCAGTTGGTGCACTGTTTGTGCGGGCAGCTAGAGAGGGGTGCATGCGGCCTGTGCAGTTACTTTTTCCGTGGGGAATCTACTTCAGGGATCGGAGGGGTTGTTCTCCAGCAATGGATGAGACCCTTCGAAGCTCTGTAGTTTTGCCCCATAGTTAACACTAAGTATAAGATGCCTGGGGACTTTAATGCTCCCTGGGCCTCTCTGCTCCGGAGTTGATGCTGTTTGGTGGCTAGACAGGAGTTTTTCTTCTGTATGACCAAAATAAGATTAAAAACACTTTATTTTTTTTTTTTGAAGTACTGATTACTGGTAGTCTTTCAGAGTTAAAGTAATTTGGGAATAACTTGCGAGGAACCGAAGGTTTCCCTTCAGTTCTCAATACATCAGAAAACTGTAGCTTTCATTGTTTCGATGGAAAGCTGCATGAACTGCAGCGAGGGATGTTAATTTCAGAAAGGATGACTTACAAGCGTCTGAGATGATAGGTGCTTCTCCAAAATACCAAATACGGATGGCAGAGGGTGACAGGTTTATTTCTGTAGCCACCCTCTAGGCAGAAAAAGCAGAGGCTAATGTTTCCTCCTCCCCCCCCCGCCCCCGCGCTCTCCCGCGTTGCCGCCGTTTCACGCTGAGGCTGGG